TAATCTTTTTATGACTTTCGATGTTTGTTAGATTTCAGACATCTTTAATGAGGTTGTGAATAAACAGGCAGGATAATAAATGCCATTCTAGAAACCGTTACGATAAAAGTTTATTTTCATGAAAATGATAATAAAATAAAACTAAACTAGAATAATCCAAAGAAAGTTACTTTAATAAATATTAAAAAATACATAGTAAATATCCTCCTACTCTTTTATTACTGTTGGCATAATAAAATATATTTATTTTCTTAACTATAAAAATAGAGCATTCAGACAATGAGGATCGAAAATTATCCATCTCGTATGACGCTTTTTTTAACATAAAAGTTAATGATGGGGTTTATTATATTAATGGCCTTTTGCTCTGTAGATAAAGTAAAAAAAATGCTGTCGGTTCATATTCTTAGTTTTTTTCTTTAAGGATTTGCTTTTTAGAATCATTTTATGGTCAAAAAACGTCTAAATGATTTAAATATTTTAGGGGGATAGAAAGTACTAATGTCTTTTCTTTTAACAAAATTAAAAATCGTTTTTAGTGTAGCATGACAAAAACGATTTGTTTGCAATCTCAAACAATAATAGATAAGTTATCTTTATAACATTATATTAGGCTTGAAATACTTTTTATATTGTATATTATTGCAGTATTGTTGAAAATAACATAAAAAATATAAATTACAAATACTATGTAAAAATTATAACTCAAAAATACTATGTTAAAATTATAAATTATAAAAACTGTTATAAATATAATAATCATAAACAATCATATAAATATAATAATCATAAATAATCCTATAAACATAATAATCATATAATCATAAATTATAAATACTAAACAAAAAGTTATAAATTGTAAATACTACATAAAAATAGTAAATTATAAATACTATATGAAAATTATGAATTATAAATACTATACAAAAATTGTAAATTATAAATACTATATGAAAATTATAATCATTATATAAAAATTATAAATACTATATAAAAATCATAAATCTTAGTGAACTTTATATCTTAAAATATTTTTTTAAGAATATATATTACACAGAGAAAAAAAATTCCAGTAAAATTACTGCATTGTATGGTAATGACATTTTAGGTAAAAAAAAAACATAATTTTAATTAGTGAAACTGAAATATACAGTATTTAAATAATTCATTTTGTAATTTTTTAATTCATTTTCTAGTTTTTCAGTTCATGAAGTAACAATTAACCGCAAATTCTGGTTTTCAAAATTATAATTCTTATTATCACACATTTAGTAAAACGCAAAAAACTGAAAGTTAAAATTAACCGAATAAATGGGTTTCATGCTTTGCTCTAAGGCATCATGTTTAATCAAATTATATGATGTTATTAATTATTATACTATATTTATTAATTGCATTAGTATCAAATTATCAAATTTTAGTAAATTTCCAAGACCAAATTCTACAGTTAATATTACCAAAAGCATTACCAAAGCGCTTCATTCAAGATTACCGAGCTTTTTGGTGCTCTCATAGGGCCAGAAACATGATAAAATGTATTATATTCAGTTAGTTCTGACCATACTTTTTTCTCAGAGTGGGATTGCGTGTAAATAAACTAATTTATGAAAGATAAAATGTCACATTTTGCTTCTCATGGCAATTCAAAGAGATATATGTTTAAAATAATAATTTAAATATATGGAATATAATTATATGGAATATAATTATTTATGCTGTAGTAAAATAACAAAACCGAAATTTTATTCAAATTATGGGAAAGGGAGTTGAAATTTTGACTTTCTTGGACAAATCTGTTTTTAGATTTCTTTGCCATTCTACAGGTTTAGGAATATCTGGCTGGCCAAGAGTAAGCGCTGCAATCATACATAATAATTATGATTAGCTATCACATGTGGCATTCATAATAATTATCACTATGTATTTTCTTGGTCAAAACAGTTTATTGGTCTGATCATTGATATAACTTTTAATGGGCCATTTAAGCATCGAATAAGCATAATTTTGGTGATTTAAGAAACTCGTTTCTTTATCAAAAATAGAAAGATCACAAAACTGAACTTTTTTGTTGAAAAAATGTAAATTTGTCTTTCAAATTTAATTATTCTTACGTCTTAAAATTTTTTTTCAAAAAAACTTTATTGCCCGAGCATTGTTAATACATCATGTTATCAACAAATAATAGGAACTCATTAACTCTTAATTTCTTACATATTATTCGCGTGTAGTAGGTCGTCCGGCTACCGAAGCGGGGGTGCCATTTCCTCTGCAGAAGATCAAAATTGTGATATGTCTTCGGATCATCCTCAGTTATGTTTCACAGACCGTCGCCAATAGCCCATTGTGTAGCTCTAGTGCGACGTAAATAAACTACAACTACAGCAATCTTACATATTATTTGAACCGGCTCCCAGATTTCTAAATGAACGGAATTACAAATTCAGTGTCGGCTAACAGGAAACTCATTATTAAGTTCGTATTGGTGAACGATGCTTTAATAATGATAACTTTTGTCAAAAAGTTAACAGTATTTAGCTTTTTTATGAAAATTTTTGTTCAAAAACTAAAATTTTGCAGAATTTATGTGTTTCTTATTAGTTATAAGAGCATCTAAATTTCAACCCCAAAATTTTTTTTCACATGCATGAGAAGAAAGAATTAAAGAATTATTGAATTAAACAACGAATTAAAGTTCTTCACAAGATAAGTTATTCTCTCAATCTTGACAAAATAAATTATAAATAAAATCAATAAAATATTTGCAAACGAAAAATTGAATTTATTTGATCAAATCATGAGTATTCAAGATAATTACCCAAGCTATCTTGGAATGTTTTTTACTAGAGATGTCTTTAAAAATTATTCCATTGATAAAAACGATAACAGTATGTACTGTATTAAGATGTTGAGTTAAAAGAAATCATTATTCTCTTTCTTCTATTATCATCATTCTTCTATTATTTTCTCTTATTCTATCCCAAAGTTTTTAATACTGAGTGCAAAATTTGATAATTCTTTTACCCAAGTACAGCGTTAACATATTATTTTGGCTCGAATGCAGTTTCAGAAATGACTAAGCATAAGTGTTTTGTCTAAGTTAATTTGTTGAAAGATATTTAAGTAGAAAACAGGAACTGTACCGGAAATCTAATGTATTCTGTAAATTCATTGGTACTTAAATTTTTTATAGAATAAAAAGTTCGTCTTTAACAATCAATTCATCGATAAAAAGTGCGTTAAGTGTGGAGTTATAATATTCAAATACAAAAAAAAGGACATTTTTTTATTTTTAGTACTTTACTTCATTTCTTTTTTTATTTCTTTATCTGTTATTTTCTTTACTTTTTATCTTATTAATAATAAAGCAATGTTATCACTAATATATTGTTAAAATATCCCATTGGTTTCAAGTGGAATTTCTGATAAAAAAAAGTATTTTGTCCTAAAGTCGTTAAAAATATATGTAAACATAAAAGAAATATGTATAAATATCCTAAGGTGTCCAGAAGGTCTCAAAACTCGAGGACAGTCCTTGAATTTAATCAATTGTACACGAAAATTTCGGTGCAAAAAATGTGCTCAAATCTTAACACGTGTCCTCAAATGTTCTAGAAATTCTCTATGAGTCAAATAGTTTGTTTATATACATTGAAATATCAAAGAAAGAAAGTCGGAAATGCTAATGTTTTTCTTTAAACAAGATAGTTTTGTCTTACAAACAAAAAGCAAAAGAAAAGCACTTTGCTGAAACCAACAGAGGAAAATGCTGGACTCGTCTTAAAATAATTTCAGTAAAAAATTAAATTTTTTTAAATCACAATTATGTATTTATTTATTTTACATTTGTTCAAATGCAGATTATTATATATTTCAAAACATAGTAATGAAATCAGGTTTGATGAAAACAGTTCTGTTTTGATATTAGTTATCAAATTTTGAATATAGCCTCTCTTGCTTATATAATTTCATATTTTCAAATATATAGGTTTCCTCAAATCGCCCTGCTTATTTTGTCTTCAAATCATGGTTTATAAACTTGGTCACTCTAAAAAAACCAAAATACTGATGTATACAACAAAATACTGAAAATATTTTAGACTTTACATTTTGAAAAATATACGACGTTATAACTTTAAAAAATGATTCCATGCATACAATTATGTTATGTATAGAATTATAATGCTCCGAGGTAAAAAAAAGAAGTCAATTATTTCTTCTTATCTTTTATCATTATTTTTTAGTAAGCAATATAGAATCAGTCATATATTCTTTAACCCTACAATAAACATAGTCAAATGGCCTTGAACGAAGTTTCTGCCAAGAAAAAGTAATTGAAACTACACGAACGATGCATGTTGTCTAACTAAAGTCATTATAAAGCCTGTAAATGAAAAATCAGAACAGTACCGGTTGAATAATATATTTAATTAATAAAATGCTACTTGATAAAAAAAAATTAAAGAAACTAAACTGTAAAAAATTCCGGATAAAGTTACAATAAAAAGCACTGACTCTCAGGATGCCGGTACATTTTAGCGTACAATTCATTTTTAACGAAACATGTCATGGAACAATGAATCTGATATATCATTTTTAAAGTAATAATTATTGTAAAAATACTAAATCACTCTAATTAAGTAAATATTACTGTAAAAGTTACGATATAATATTTTAAGGTTAAAATGGATTTTACGGTAAATTGGATTTTAGGATGATGCTCCCTAAGTGTCAGTTCTTAATACCGTAATTTGATGCGGAATTTTTTATAGTGTATCTCCAACTTAAAAATTAAGCAGAAATACCCTATTTTATTTTATTTATTTTTAATTATGAATTGAAAATTTCTCAAGCCTATATATTAATAATTTATTAATAGAAGTTAAGGAACAACCAAACTGAATACAATTAACTTAATAACCCAAAAGGTTTATTCATTTTTAATGTAACTGAGACCCAACGAAGATCAGAAAAAGTTCTTAAACATGAATTATTTATTTTAGTTCAACGCAACAGATGTCTCATCGATTAGGACACCTTCTGACAAAAGAAGAGGAAGATCTTTTAGTACTTCTTGAAATCTCGCCTGGCACATTTTGAATTCTGAATACCATCATCTCCTCCCTAACGAAGAAAAAAAAAATTCCAGAAAAGTACCAAGGTTTTCCCGAAGTCAGGACTTTGCGCACAACTCCAGCGCACACCTCCAGCGCACAGTCCAATAAATCCGGACAGGCCTCAAGTTTTCGTCTCTGTACTTACAACCATTTCGTTCTAGATACTGCTGGGAAAAAGACATTCAAGGTTAGGTGTCGGGAAAAAAGGAATCTTGGAAAAGTTTCTCTCAACTTTTTTCAATCGCTTACAGTCTCCAGGGAAGAAACTGTCTACAATTGTTTGGGCTGTACTTTTTCGTCTGGCACAATTGCTAAGGTAGTAAGTAATGCTATTTCTTTATTGTATTTATAATTTTTATACTTTAACGTAAACAACATATAATAAAAATTTAATAAATACATTTATATTTTTATCGAATATTTAAGTACTTGAAATATATTATTAGAAGAATTCGTAGCGTATGTATTTAACTTTTTGTTGTCTAACTAAATGAAAGAAAACAGTGAAAGCATGAAACCATTCAACTTTTTGAAATATCCTTTTTCCTGAACATATATGTATGACAATACTAGACCAGTTAGATATTATTTATTAGTATTCGACAATTTGTGTTAAAGATTAGTTAAGAATACATTTAAAATATATGATTTCTTCGTACTTAATGCAAATTTTTGCCTTTAGTAAGTAAGGGTATTCAAATAAATGAATTTATGTACTTTATCTAAATAAATTAATGATAAAATTATCTCTTTGCTATTAAAAAAAAGAGTTTGTTTTCACATATTTTTATGTATATCCAAACAGATGTTTTTACTAAATAGATATTTTATGTTGAGACTTGAAAAAAATTGTAAAAGTACTTTTTTTTTTAAAACATTCATTTCCTTTACTTTTTTTTTATTTAAAAAATTCATTCATTAAAAAGTGTATAAGTTCCTGATATGAGGATTTATAGCTATTATTAATTTGAAAAAAACTTCATTCTGTTTACTTAATATATGCGTTCACTCAATGTCAGCTACAATTTAATAGAATTTATAAACTTAAACTATAAAGATTAGAAAAATAAATTTAAATATTATAACAAAAATTTAGCATAAGATCAAGGTTAATTTCTATGTATTGAAGATCATTAGAATGGAAAGTTGAAGTAATTAATGGAATGTTAGTTTTTAAAATAATTTTTAAATTTCTTTTTCAAATTTTTAAATTTACACTTTATATGAATATCCTGAAAAACTATTACTATAATTAAAACAAATAAAATTTTCTATACAGCTCAACTTTCTTAATTTCAAATATGCTCAATATGTAAGTTGTCTCATAAAATGCTTTCAAAACTACTTAATGAACGAAATTAAATTTCTACAAATATGTTATCTTATTTTTATAGTTCGTATTTGTAATATTATATTTTCTCTATTATAGTTTCCCTTGTAGATCCCTGTAGGAACAGTATCTAAAATTATTCACTCAGCACCATTCATTATTAATTTACATTAGAAATATAATGTTACTTAAGAAAAGATCATGTAAAAATTTTTCAATGTATTTTTAAAATTATTATATGATGAATTACCCATACTTCATTATGAATAATAAATTACCAATAATGTATTACAAATTAATTTAAAGTATGGTATCTTTTTAAAAATAATTTTGCAGAATAACAGGATAAAAAAATATTTTAATATAAATATTTAAATAAAATGTGAAATGGTTTTTACAAAATAATGAAGTAGTATAAAATAATCTATGAATAGATTCCAGATTTTAGGTAGATAATCTATGTTTCATTAAGCTAATATCAATTATGTTTACATTATATCTACTAATCGTAGCTAGAGTAGTGAGCAAAATGCGGATCAAATTATGGTAAAATGTACCGTAACGCAAGGTGTCGGTACTTTTTACCGCAAGCTCTATGCTTACAGGAACATGTTATCTAATATACCGTAATTTTTGTAGCAATATTTACCGTAAAGTCATTGAACCACTTCAATTAAGTAAATATTACTGTAAAAAAAGACGGTATAATATTTTACAATAAAAAGGGGTATAAGTTAAAATGGATTTTACGGATGATGTCTCCAAATTGTCGGTTCTTCATACCGTAATTTGATGCCGAATTTTTGATAGTGCAGCCTGCATGGGTATTAAAGGAGGTTTGTACGGAATACTGATCATGTCTTTAGTCACGAAATTGTGGTACCTTAAATTACATGAATGGTTCAGGGAATTATTTATTATTTTTTCATATTCACTTACACGACGTTTTATTTCATTTGAGTATTTCAAATTTTAATTTATTTTTCACAAAACTCATTTTTGAATTTTTTCCGATTGATTAACACAGATCTGCTTATAATTAATCGCTTCACACACTGTAAAAAATTTTGCCTGAACTTACGGTATAAAGTACCGATATTTAGGTTGCATCATTCATAAAATCCCTTTCACCGTGAAATTCATTTTAATCGCAAAATATTACATAGTAATTTTTACAACAATATTTATTCAATTCGAGTGATTCAGTGATTTAACGGTAATTGTCACTGTAAAAATTACTGTATATTAAATTTTTGTTCTGTAACATGTCCCGGTAGTAATAGATTTTATAATAGAAAATACCGGGACTTTGAGATCGGGTACTTTTTACGGTAATTTGATCCGTAATTACAGTGCATACCTGTTTAGATACTTAATAGTTATTAGACCTGGTAATCAATGAATATCCAAAACCATACATTAATCTTTTTTATTGAGATACTAAACCGAGTTTCAAGAACAAGACACCTTTGCATTACTATGCCAAAAAACGAGAAAAAAGTTTTTAACATCAAATTTAAAGAATTTTTTTTTCTTATTTTTTTACGTTTTTATTAACAGAATTTTAAACGAAACTATTAGCATTCAAAATATATATCAAATGATACATTTCAAAACAGTTTTCTATATCATCACTATGTTGATTTTCCAAAACTACATCAGATTTGTATATTTTTAACAGCACATAGTAACTACGTTGTGTTTTTGTTAGATTAAAAATATTTCTAAATCAAAAATGAAACAATTTGTGTTGCACTGGTTTTTTTATAAGTGTGCTATTTTGTACTGAAAAGTAAATTGATTGAATTTCGGTATTCCATTACAATGCAGTGAACCTAGAGACTACATACGAAGTAAGAGTTGATCTCGAGAGATTTCAACGAGTTGATTCCTTAATTTATTTCTCTTTCCAATATATTTTTTGTACAACATAAACAAATGTTTATATTCGATGAAAATCTGTTGAAACGATGATGGTTTTAGTTACAAAAGTTTTAAATGTTGTTCATTGTGAATCATACTAATTCATGAGGCAGTTTTTTGTGGAATTTATATTTCGCGAAGATGCGGCAATTAAACCTCGTAAAAGTTGAGAAATTCCATTTCTTCTTGGATTTCCTTGAAATTAGGAATATTTAAAAAAGATAAACTATGTATGAGACGAGGTTAGTAGGGATGAGTTGGAACAGCAGGCACAAGCCGGGAAAAACACATCAGACCTTATTCAGGCATTATGGTGTAGAGTGCCAACGTCCAAGTCACATAAAATAAAAGTGCGTCACTATAAATGATAGGGAATTCTGCATGCGGCTTGCACCGACCACAGTGCTAACGTGAAATATCCTCAGTAGTAGACGGATCATGGGTTAGAGTCCCCTTGACGTCAAGCTAACCGTGGAAGGTTCTTGTGGTCTTCCTCTCCCTGTAACGCAAATGTGGGTTAGCTCCATCAAAAAGTCCTCCACGAGGGCAAGTTTCTCATAATTCTCGATACAAGAGTTTCCTTGTCTTCTGGATTGGGTTTAAAATTACAAGGCTGCGGAGTTGAACATTAGTAGTCGTAAACCCATAAAATTATGTCGGTTGTTCAACGACGGATATAAAATAAAATGATAGGAAAATTTTTTAAAATTTGTCCCAATGATCTTTTAAGTCACAAGGAAAATGGGAATTATTATTTACTGCAACTCGTTCAAAAAAGAAGTCATAGGATTTCTCTGGTTCTCAAGCTTGATTAAGGAAAAAACTTAATGAGTCAATTCTAGCATTCTTTAGTCTAAATTTAGAACTAATTCCGGATGTGAATAATCAATAAGAGAAAGCGTTTCATTTTGAATATAAATTAAGAAAGAGAGCTTATATAAAGGAATAACATAAACTGATTTTGTAAAGCTTTATATTTTACATGTATATTGTCATTTAAAATCATGTAAGACTTTGCATATTTTTCAATTCAAAGTTTCTTGTCTTTTAGTTTTTACATAAAATAATTTAAAAAAAAAATGAATGAATATTTGAAAGTATTTTTTGCAAGAAATTATCTTCAGATTAACTAGTTGTATAATTCTGAGAAGAAAAGGATTTTATTTGTTACAAACGTTTACAACACATGGTGAATTAAAATTTTAACGATTAAACAATCAGGAATATATTTTCCAGATTGCAACTACCTCCAAATTTTAATGATCAACACTTAAATTCTGTCACAAAAATACATAATTATGCTGAGAAAATACGTTTTCTTGCCTGATTTCAAAACTTAAATAATACTCAGCAATTTTTACAAATATGAATTTCAACCATCTACACCTTTAAAATTAACATTCAGTAATCGATTCGATCTTTTAAAGCAAAAGCTATTTTGGGTTATATCTTTTATGACTCAGTGTTCTCAAGTAAGATCTAAATATTTAAAATAATTGATATAACGACAATAGAGCATAAAATTAACAATTGAATCTGAAATTTATATTTTTACTTAATGTTCTTCATAGCTGTAAATATTTTCTTTAAATTAAATAATAATCAAATCCGGTTACAGTATTAAATTAAATACATTATCTTGTCTGATTTAAAAAATAAAAGGATTCAGCAATAGTACACGAAATTAACAATTTCAGATAAAACATAAATTTTTATTTTTACTTAACACTCCTTGAAACTGTAAATGTCTTTCATCAAATTAGATGATAATCAGATCCAGTTACAATAATTTATTTAATATCAATGCAATGTGTAGAATTTATTACATTCCTCATCACAAACCCTCCACGTCATAAAGATTGACATTTTGCGCTTGATTTGATAACTAACGAAAAGTTTATTCAGGGTTATATCTTTTTTTGACTTACTGTACTAAATTAAATAATTTATTCATCAGCAATGAAACACAAAATTCAGAATTTAATTTAAAACAGAAATTTATATTTTTACTTAACACTCCTTAAAACTGTAAATGTCTTTCATTAAATTAAATGAAAATCAGA